GGTCGGGCAGAATTCCGACGTCATTCAGACAAAATTACGGCTGCGGTGGTTGAGGAGGAGTTCTTCCCTCCTAATCTTCTTCTCTTCTTCCCCTCCTTTTTGCTTCCATCCCTCTCTCAAGAGAAATGATGGGTCTATTTATAGATTTTCTGGAGTGATATGGCCCGTAAATAGGCAAGAGATCAGGGTTAAATATGGAGTGGTTGGATGGACGGCTGATATTGAATCCCTTGATCATGTACCGTTACCGTTCGTTAGACATTTGAAGGACTTAATGATGTCAGAATTTGGCGATCTTAGGCTCGTTGGATTCGTCTCGTCGAGCCACTCGATTCGACTATAAGCTAGTCAAGTTTGGAAACCGTTTGGTAAATCCAAATTGTTGTTCAAACCTTCCAACAGCGCTTGTGGTCCTTGGTTTGGACGCATTTGGGCTTAGATTAAGTTGAATTTGGTGTCGTTGGGTTTATATTTCCGAGAAGCTCAGTTTGACTGTAAGTTTGCTAAAATCAGAGTTCAGATGATCCCGGATTTAATTTTTGAAGTTTCCAACTTGTTTTTTACCTCGAGATTCGTGCCCGATCAAGATAATTTTTGCATGACATATCAACACTATACACTACAGGAAAATTTTTCATTACTGGCGAATTTTTCTAATGGAAATGGACACTCTTATGGTAGATTTATTTCCATCGGTATAAGCGGCATAGGAAGCGCAATGCGTCAGAACTTTTTTCGCCGGAAATTATTTCCGGCGACTTAATTTCCGGCGGTTTTTCATTTTGGTTGTGGTGGTGGTCGGAGAAAAGGCTTCCAAAATTAGTTGTTGGAGATTTCTGGTGGCATTACCGCCAATTTGACTGCCAGATATTTCCGGAGGGTGGGGAGATAAGGCTCAAGGCCGGCGTCGGTAGGAGCTACATGCAATGAGAGGGGGTCTCGTCTTTCTCTGAGACGGAAGGAGACGAATTAAAATGAGGAGTAAAGAATGGTTCAGTGAAAAAGGGCTAATACCAGCAGCATTTTCGACTGCCACAGCTGCCGGGAACAATTTACTTGAAACTGACTGTTATTCCACCGAAAAGGTGTCCAACTTACATATAAACTGGCGGATTTTCTGATGGCTCTATGACCGCCAGAATTTCTGATGGTCCCAGAGTTGTCGAAAAATCCGCTAGTACTTGATTATTTTTCTGTGGTGATACAGTCATCATCAAATCCAATAATGGAGCAATGTTGATTATTACGAAAGACAACATTTGTTGTATCATATGCTATAAATCAAACTGCAAAATAAAGGGAATTTATATGCCTTCATTTTCAAATTCAATACAAATATTATTTCAAACTCACTAGAAAATTCTCAATCACATTGTACCCTCTTTTATCCTATTCAAACAAGTTCCTTCCTAAAGTAATATGAATTCAAGTAAAAAATGAAAATAATAATCTTCCATGCACTTTGTAGTAAAGTACACAACAATTAAGTGGCAAGGGTTTTGACCTGACCCGGAAGGAAGAATTATTCTGTGCGGAGTGCGGAGGGCATTCGAATATCAATAAAAATGCGTCACGTCACCTTATTGGTGGGTACCCAGCTCGGTACCAGCACTCGGTACCGCTGGGTACCCAATGCTTAACCGGACGGTTCTCCCATAAGGTCTCCGTACAGAATAAAAGCGCTCGCCTGGAAGAGGGAAGGATGACTGGTCACAATGATTCCAACATAAAACTAAAAAAAAATGTGTGAACCACCACATGAATTACAAAATTCTGGATACAGATCTGATTTATCAAAATAGAAAAATAATATTCAACTTAAAAAAACACTTTATATTTATACAGATATGAGGCTGCACTATTGGCTACATACAAGCAACACAAAGAAGTTAAAAAAATATATTTAACAGCCCATCAAACCAGCAATGGTGGCTGCTACGAGGTCAGACTTTACTCTGACTACCCCTTAACTAAGAGAAGGGCCCCAAACCAATCTCTTTACCTCTGTGTGAGCAGGAAGAAAAAAACTGGTTTCGTTAGTTATTTAAAATGTTCGGTGGAGAAGAAAAATAACCATTAGATGCTTTAAAGAAAATGTTGCAATAGAAGAAGAAGAAGATGGCCGAAGGAGAAGGAGAATATCAATTAAAGAAAATGTTGCAATAAAAGAAGAACAAAGCTCATAGTTTTAGCAAAGGTAAGCAGAAGATCCTGAAAACTGTTTGTTAACAATCAATATAAATCTTGTCAAATCATATGTGACTATTTGGCAATTCAATTTAAGATTTAAGGCGATTAAGAAGGTTGGATTTAAGTCATTTGTGCGGTAGGAGTTGGCTAAAGGGCATAATCACAAGCGACTTTTATAGATTAGTATATATATATATCATCGGTCGTGAATAGGAAACTTCAAAACAGGGGGTTAACTAGACATTTATATGCTTAAATGATATATTATTATGTGTTTAAATATATTAATTAGCTTAAAATATTTAATTAATTGTATTTAATAGATGATGAATTTTCTAAGAGCGGTTGTACTACAGAAAATTTACTCATTATCGACGGATTTTGCCAGCGGTTTACTCATGTTTTCCGGCGATTCTTAAAAAAAATGGCGGCTTTTTGGCGGTTTTCACACTGCCAAAAAAAAACCGCGCTGGAAATCGTTACCGGCGTTGTTTTTCCGGCGGTTTGTTTCACCGACGGTGTTCCGGCGGTTTATACCGTCGGTTATCACCGGTGTTTTTACCGACGTCTTCCCGGCCGTTCGACCGTCGGTAAAAATACCGTCGTTTAAACCCCGTGAAACGTACCGGCGGTCATAACCGAAGGAATTGCTGGGGGTTGTAGCCGTTGGTGTGTCGCCGAACTACCGCCGGTAAATACTGTCGATAAACCGCCGGTAAATACCAGCGGTTATAAGGGATTTCCGGCGGCGTCAATCAGCTGTCCGGTATCGAAGTTTCCGGCGGCTAAACCGTCGGTTAGCCGCCGAAAACCTGTATCATCTGAAAAAAAAAATTGACAGCCTCTCCTCTATTTGAGGGATTTTCACCCTAAACTCTAAACCTGCACAGAAAATAATAACCACAATTTTTGGCAACACGCCACTATAATAAATCACATAAATTATCACAAATATATTCATGAGTTAAACCAAATAAAACAATAAATGAAACCAAAGTTCTAACTTCACAAGTTCAACCAAGTTCATTAAACCAAAGTTCTATGTTCACAAGTTCTAAGTTCAATAAGTTCAACCAAATAAGTTTACAATCAAATCATCATAAGTTTATCAAACATAAAAAAGTGCTAATCCTCAGTTGTATCCTCGCTGTCTGGAGATGCATGTGGCTGCTCTGTCTCTTGCTCTTTCTTCCTTTGATTTTCATTTCTGTAGGATTGTAGCTTTGCTTGCATTTCATATTAAACCTTTCTCATCTCTTCAATCTCTCTAATCAGCGTTGAATTTCATCAACAAAAAGTATACACTAAGGCACATCCTCTTGCAAATGTTTAGTGAGAATATTCATGACTAATATGTCTACTTTCTTAATCAGGTCATCTGAAGGCTGTCATTTTTGGATGGTTGAAGTCACTCATCCACCTAAGCACCCTCATCTCTGCAACACTTAACTTAGTATTATGCTTCTCTTTTATTGACCAAGATTCGACACTATAAAGCATTGTAGATCTCACCACCATCTTATAGAATTTTGACTAAAGTATGAGGGGGACTTTTCTATCACGCAATAACAAGCCCGATTCATTTCTCCATTTCAACCATCCAACTTGAATTGTGCTGATAATATCCCCTTCTATTTCACCATCACTCTAAACAAAAGATCCAAGATATTTAAAACGTGTACTTTTATCAATTACTTGATCGCCCAAAGTCACAATCCCCTCGCTAGGTATATTACTACTAAAATTACACTCTATATATTAAGTTTTAGATCTACTCAAGCGAAATCTTTTAGACTCTAAAATTGACCTCCATAATTCGAGTTTACCTTCAACTCCCTCTCTAGTCTTATCAACATGTAGAATTTCATCAACAAAAAGCATACACCAAGGTGCATCCTCTTGCAAATATTTAGTGAGAATGTTCATGACTAATACGTCTACTTTCCTAACCGAGTCATTTGAAGGCTGTCATTTTTGGATGGTTGAAGTCACTCATCCACCTAAGCACCCTCATCTCTGCAATACTTAACTTAGTATTATGCTTCTCTTTTATTGACCAAGATTCTAAACCATAAAGCATTGCAGATCTCACCACCATCTTATAGAATTTTCCCTAAAGTTTGAGGGGGACTTTTCTATCACACAACAAGCCCTATTCATTCCTCAATTTCATCCATCCAGCTTGAATTGTGCTGATCATATCCCCTTCTATTTCACCATCACTTTAAACAAAAGATCCAAGATATCTAAAATGTGTACTTTTATTAATTACTTGATCGCCCAAAGTCACAAACCGCTCACTAAGTCTATTGCTACTAAAATTACACCCCATATATTCAGTTTTAGATCTACTCAAGCGAAAACCTTTAGACTCTATAGTTGACCTCCATAATTCGAGTTTACCTTCAACTCAATCTCTAGTCTTATCAACATGTAAAATATCATAAAAAAAAAACATACAACTAGGTACATCCTCTCGCAAAAGGTCTACTTAGAAAATTCATGACTAAAGCAAAAAAATATTGGCTACATTCTCTCACAAATGTCTAGTGAGAACATTCATGACTAAAGCAAAAAGATATTGACTTAAGACTGATCTTTGATGTAATCTAACACAAATAACAAAAATCAACAAGTAAAATATCATCCACAAAAAGCATACAACAATGTACATCCTCTCGCAAATGTTTAGTGAGAACATCCATGACTAAAGCAAAACGATATGGGCTTAGACCTGTTCTTTGATGTAAATCAACTGTAATAACAAAAAATATTAAAAAAAAAAATTACAAACGCTCACCTCAGAGGCAATGTCGCGCAGGGGAGTTGGCGGCTGGAGGGACCTCGTCGGCGGCCGGAGACAGCTCGTCGGCGGCCTAAATGATCTCGATCGCGGGCGGAGGAGAGGTGGCGAGCGCAGCCGAAGAGAGAGAGAGCGCGAGATGGAATGAAATGGGAGGGTCTGGATGGTTAATTTTAGGGCTTTTACTGGCGGCGTTCCGGCGGCTAAAATCGTCGGTTACTAAATTACTTAACACCAGCGGTTTGAGCCTTCGGTATAGTGCCGGTAAGTTTAAAGGCCGGCAGTTTACTCGGTGGTTTCGTGACCGCCGTTATTTCCGGCGGCATAAACTTGCATAACAGCCGGTTGGGCCGCCGGTAATAATCGGTGGTCAGACCACTGTTAAGTCGCCGTTATTACCGGCGGCTAGACAACCGCCGGTCCAGGCCGCCGGTAATCAATGAATTTCCTATAGTGTTGGTCACATAGGTTCCCGACTTTCTTTCCTTCACAGGTTCAAAGAAACATTCAATCTTTCTGCCGACCCCCAAGATAAGATCAAAGCCACTACATCGGTTTCCACTGTGGTGCTTGGTAACTCCTGCACTCCATCTGGAGAAATTATTTTCTGCGGAGTTCGAATGCAGAGTTGAGTTCAGATATGTGAGTGTATACAGTGTGCATACGTACTGTGTAAAACAAGAAAGTAAAAGTAATGGAAGTAAATGACACTAAGATTTAAGGTGAAAAAAATCCAAAAACTGGAAAAAAAAAATCGCAGAGTCACCCAACTCCAAGAATTCCACTATGAAAATTGAGAGAAATATAAGTACAAATCTTTCTTCTTTCTCACTCTTTCCCTACTTCTCTCCTTTCTTGCACCGTTCTCACACACAAAAAAAAGATTAATTAATAACACCAAAGAATGCTACCCTTAAGACAAACGGGAAAGAAAATTGTTAAGTCTGCTTTAAAGGAATGTGGTGCCAATTTGGAGTGTTGCTTTGCTCAAACCAAACAACCAAAAGTATTTACGGCCAATCAAGCAGCCCTTTAAATATCTAACATCAAAATATTTATATTTATTTATATAACACTCAAATTTTTAATCATATAAAAAAATATAACTAATATTCACTTATTTAAAATAAAATGCATCTATCTTTTCAAGTATATAGTTCGATATGATTTAAACATTAAAGTGATACAAATTCATTAAAAAAAATAGATATTAAATATATAAATATTTAAGAATTTTGTGATATGCATGTAATTAAAAAAAAAGGGCTGATTTCAATCCAAAAAATAAATACCAGCAATGAGGATATATTAATTTATTCTGGATAAGATAATCACCGAACCATTCCACAAGAAATTTTGTTGTAATGTGCTCATTTTCTCTTCATTACTGCAACACAAATGTCCAATTAAACACATCCACTGAAATCCAATCAGATTTCGTAATTCCTTACGACAAATTCTGCAAGGATTTCCTGCATGAAATTTGTCTCAGTTTATGAACATTTCCCACTTGCAGTAATCATTCAAATATTTTTTTAATAATTTTAAAATAAAATTTCAATAGATAATTTGGAACTTGTCTTCCATCTCGCTCTTTATAATGAGGAGAGGATTACTGTATTCTTATCATAAAAAAAAATCACTTTCCTCCTTCAAAATTCAATAAGATTCAGAAATGGCAAATCATAGTTTCTTCTCCATTTTAGCCATTGTAATGCTTCTGATTAGCTTCACAGCAGAAGGTTCTATTTCTCTCTCATCTTTACTCTCTCTCAATCCAATGTATAATTCTATTTTTAAGAAATTTATTTTTAATCTGTAAACATATATAAGCCTTGTCTCATGCAGTATATATGTTTTTTGAATAAAGTTTTTTAAAAAAGGAGACAGTTTCTTATCCTAACGGTACAATTATTTGAATTTCTTCTTTGATCTGTAAGAAATTTGATTTCTGTGACAGGCGTGGAATCCATTGGCGTCTGTTATGGAACAGGAGGGAATAATCTCCCATCACCAAACGACGTGATTAATCTCTATAAATCAAAGAACATCAAAGGAATTCGACTGTACAACCCTGATCAAGATGCCCTCCAAGCCCTCAAAGACTCCAACATTCCTGTAATCCTCGACGTCCCCGATTCTGACATCTCCTCTCTGGCGTCCGACTCCTCCGCCGCCTCCCGATGGGTCCAAAGCAACATCCAAGCTTTCTCTGCAAATGTCAACTTCCGATACATAGCCGTTGGCAATCAACTTACCGGCGACTCTAACGCCAATAACATTCTTCCTGCAATGCGTAACATCGCAGCAGCGTTGAGATCTGCTGGGTTACAAGATCGGATCAAGGTGTCGACGGCGGTTTCCACCGGCGTCCTCGGCACCTCCTATCCTCCCTCCGCCGGCGCATTCAGCTCCGACGCCAGCTCCGTTCTGGTACCCATCATCGGATTCCTGAACGAGAATGGAGCCCCGCTCCTGGCCAATGTATACCCTTATGTCAGCTACACCAGCAATCCTAACGCCATCTCCCTCGACTATGCGCTATTCACTTCTCCGGGGACGGTGGTCACCGACGGGCAACTGCAGTACCAGAACCTTTTCGACGCCATTGTCGATTCCCTGTACTCTGCTTTGGAGAAGGTGGGAGGCCGCAGCATTTCTGTGGTGGTTTCTGAGACTGGCTGGCCGTCGGATGGGGGGCCGGCGGCAACAACGGCTAATGCACAGACCTATCTTTCAAATCTGATCGGCCATGTCTCCTCCGGCACGCCGAAGAGGCCAGGAAGCATTGACGCCTACATATATGCCATGTTTGATGAGAACAATCAGCAGCCACAGGGAACTGTGAATCATTATGGTCTGTTTACTCCCGACAAGCAGCCCAAATATTCTATCAGCTTCTAATCATTAATGATTTGATGTGATGATTTGGTCGAATAAATTATCAGTTCTGATATCAAAAGAGAGATCTTGAAAAAAATTTAAGCTTTTATATATATAATTTGAGTGTGAATTTATGTTTGATTTGCTCAAAATTTTAAAAAAGAAGAGTGAATGTCCTTTTTTTCTACCTATATATGAATGTATTTCTAAATTTTAAATAAGTTTGTTTACTTGCACTATGTAGCAATTTCAAGATGAAGATGTATGGTGTTTTTTTTTTTTTTTTTGTTTTTTTGTGGGCAAGGGAGCGAAAATTTATTCTGTGCGGACGTTGAACGTCCAAAGATCAACCAGAATGCTCCACGTCACCTCGTCACCCTTTCGCTTGGTACTGCTCGATACCATTGACGTGGTTGTACTTGTTTTGCCTCCAGACATAGAGTTGCGTCATGCGTCCGTACAGAATAATATCTCGTGGGGAGGGGGAGCTCGCTACTGGTCAAAGAGCTACAAGTAAGATATACCAAAAAAATTTATAGAGCAAAGGATCATTACTTATTTATAGTTACAAAATTGGAACAGAAAATTGAATGACAAATAGGAAGCCAAGACTAACAAATTTTAGATCTATAATCATTTTTATGAGGGGAGCTCACTACTGCTCAAAGAGCTACAATGATCATATTAGACATC